TCTTTAGCCCATCTTTTAATTGGGTCATTTGGTTTCTCACTTCTTTGTTTTTTGAGTTCTTTATCTATTCTGGATGTTAAACCTCTGTCAGATGTATTACTGGTGAAATTTTTTTTCCCATTCTGTTGATTTTCAATTCACTTTTTTGATTGTTTCTTTTGCTGTACAGAAGCTTTTTAGTTTAATGAGGTCCCACTTATTGATTGCTGACCTTAATTCCCAAGCAACTTTTGTCTGATTTAGAAAATCCTTTCTTACACCTATACCCTGTAAGTTACTGCCAGTATATTCTTCCAATAGTTTCAGGGTTTCCAGTTTCACATTGAGGTCTTTGGTCCATTTGGAATTGACTTTTGTGCAAGGTGAAAGATAAGGATCCAGTTTCATTCTTCTACAGGTAGAGATCCAGTTTTACCAGCTCCATTTATTGAAGATGCTGTCTCTCCTACATTGTGTGTTTTTGGCACATTTGCCAAATATTTGGTGGCTGAAATTGCATGTACTTGGATTTGGATCTTCAATTATGTTCTATTGATCTATGTATCTGTTTTTGTACCAGTATCATGCTGTTTTTATGACTATGGCTCTGTAGTATACTTTGAGGTTTAGTATAGTAATCCCCCCAGCGTTGCTCTTTGTGCTCAGGGTTGCTTTGGCTGTCTGGGGTGTTTTGTACCTCCATATGAATTTAAGGATGCATTTTTCTAATTCTGTGAAGTATGTCATGGGAATTTTGATTGGGACTGCATGAATCTATATAGCTTTTGGAAAGATGGTCATTTTCACAATATTAATTCTTCCAATCCATGAGCATGGGAGGTCCTTCCATTTCCTGGTGTCTTCCTCAATCTCTTTCTTTAGTGATTTAAAATTTTCATGGTAGAGATATTTGGTGTCATTGGTCAGATTTATTCCAAGATTTTTAATTTTTTGGTAGCAATTGTGAATGGGAACATTTCCCTGTATTCTCTCTCCAATTGCTTCTTATTGGTATATAGAAAGGCTACTGATTTTTGTAGACTGATTTTATAACCTGCCACTTTACTGAAAGTGTTGATCAGTTCTGGGAGTTTCCTGGTGGAACTTTTGGGATCTCTTAGGTATAGTATATCATCTGCAAAAAACGATAGTTTGACTGCTTCTTTTCCAATTAGTACTCCTTTAATTTCCTTCTCTCATCTTATTGCTCTAGCAAGAGTTTCAAGCACTATGTTGAAAAGGAGTGGAGATAGTGGACATCCTTGTCTGGTTCCTGGTTTTAATGGG